AATCAAGAGGAGATCAGCATCAAGGTTGAGATGTAATAGAGGAAAATGTTAAGCAAAATCAAAAAGGAAACCACCAAGAAGGAAAAAAACAAGTGACCAGAAATCAGGGTGAAAGAAATTATGTTCAAGAAGTTTCAGAAAAAGAGGAGCATTGGAAGACACAAACAAGAAAACAATCAAAAAACATGGAGCAAGTTCAACCCAAAACAACATGGAGAGCACGCTCAGCACAACACAAGAAAGTCATTGATGACAACCAACAAGCAGTAGGTATACCTCCTACTCATACTATTTATAGTGACATAGAAGTGCAGGAGCAGGCTGTTCAGGAGCTGCAGGTGGACACATCAGGAAAGAAAGGTGCTGCAGACAACAATATCCAACAAATCCAAGAGCCACTTACTGCATAATCACCAACAACACAAACAACAAATGTCCAAAACCAGCACATGGACAATTCAGAAAGGAAAGGGGATGCACACAGTGATACATAGCAAAATGAAGAAACAAATATTGCTTCACTATCAAAAAATTAAAGAACAAACCTGCAGCAACATCAAACACAACTCACACAAGCCAATAATACCAAGAGAATAGGTTTTGACTTATCTCTCCCCATACCCCAGCAATCCCCTGCAAATGCTGCTGATAATAGTGTGAATGTTGGGTTGGCTGTTTATGTTGATGGAGGTATGGATGGAGGGTGTGAGGAGAATCCCACTAATCTGCAGGAAGGGGTATCCAAAGGGGGGAAAGGAACTCTGTTTTTTGATCACTCCGACCATAGGAGAGACCTTAGAGACGCAGAAAATAAAACTCAAAATTCCAGCAATCAGGGGCAGCAGCAAAATTCCAGTCAATGGCAAAATTATGAGGCTGATCAGAGTTTGAAAAGAGCTGAAAATCAAGAAGTTGGGGGTATAAATGCTGCTGGAAATCAACAATATACTGTTAATTCTGAGCATCAGCAGCAGGGAGATAAAACTCCTGTCGAAAAACAAAACAATAAATCACAAGGCAGACCTAGCAAAAAGAAAAGAGAAGCAATTAAAAGAAGAATTCAAATAGAGGCAGGTCTGCAGTGTGATAATGAGCAGATTAAAAGAGAAAATAAATCTCCAAAACAGTGCCATGACAACTCACATTATGAAGTTATAAATTAAGAAGATGGATTTAACGAAGATACTCAGTCTCTCAATGAAAAGGAGGGAGAAGAGGAAGAGGATGAAACTAGTGCACAGTTGATCAACGCTTTTGGTTCTACTTTCCAAAGTGAGTTTGAGTCTGAAATCCATGAAGTCACTACTAAACAAGGTTTATCTCCAAAGGATAGAAAGGAAGTCAGACAATATAACAACACCGTCACAACAAGCACATCAGGTAATACTAGTAGACCCAATACTAGGTCAAGAAGTAAAGGTTTTTAATGATCAGTACAATAGGTTGGAATGCTAGGAGCATCAACTTCCAAGGCTCTTTGGAAAGACTCCAAAATCTCAAGAAAATGCATAATTTGTCTGTGATTGATATTCTTGAACCTTTTGCAGATAACTCTCAAATCAACAAATACAAGCTTTTTTTGTCTATGGATAATGCTTTTTGTAATAATAATGGCAAAATTTGGCTTTTTTGGACCAATGATATGGAATGTGATATTTTGGAAATTCATGATCAACACATCACTTGTTGGTCCAAACATGTTGAACACAATGAGAAATTTTTTTTCTCTCTTATTTATGCTAAGTGTAAGGAACACTTAAGAAGACCTCTTTGGGAAAGACTTTATCATATCTCCAATATGGATAGCCCATGGTGTACGATTGGAGACTTTAGTGTCATTACGTCAACTGATGAAAAACATGGTGGCATACCCTGTAATATGAACAAAAGTCTGGAATTTATTGATCATTGAGGCTTGTGGTATTATGGACATAGGCTACAGTGGTCAACATTACACTTGGTGTAATCAAAGACCGGTGAAGCAAGAGTGTGGAAAAGATTGGATTGAGCCATGGTCAACGATAAATGGTTGGAATGTATGCCACAAATTATTATCTTTCATCTTCCTGTTGTTGGCTCGGACCATTGGCCTTTATTAATGGAAATGGAGGTGAGAATAGCCCAAAAAGTAAAATATTTTATGTTTTTGCACTGTTGGACTGAAAATGAAATTTTCAAGTATTTTGTGCAAAGATCTTGGCAAGAGGAAGTAAGTGGTGATCCTATGTGGAAACTTCATTAGAAAATGAAGAAATTGGCTTCTACCTTGAGTACATTGTCTAAGAGTGAATATGGCAACATCTTTTCAATGGTTATAGATTTTGAAGAACAGGTTAAAAAGGCGGAGGAGAATGTCATACAAAACAATTCAGAGGAGAACAGAGCCAAACTTCATCTTATTAATGCTCAATACATAAAATACATAAAGTTGTAAACTTCCATACTCAAGCAAAAAACTCAGCTCCAATGGTTCAAAGAAGGGGATACCAATTCCAAATACTTTTATTCTATGATGAGGGGAAGGAGAAGGAAGTTGTTTATCCACAGAATTTTCACAGATGAGGATACTTGGATACAGGGAGATGAGAACATTGCCAAAGAATCTTGTATGTACTTTCAAAATATTTTCACTGGGAAATCAGACAGAATCAGTGAGGAGGTTCTTAACTGTATTCCCCGGATGGTTACAGATGAACAGAACCAAATTCTTCAAAAAATGCCTAATATGGAGGAATTAAAAAAGTTTATTTTCTCCATGAATCCTAACTCGGCTCCAGGTCCGGATGGGTTTGGAGGGAAATTTTATCAATCATGTCGGGGTATTATTAAGGAAGATATTCTAAAGGCTGTGCAACATTTCTTCTGTGGAAATATTTTGCCTAAATATTTTTCGCATGATTGTATTGTTCTTCTTCCTAAAATTGATCATCCCAATAAATTTTTAGAGTTCAGACCCATCAGCTTGAGTAATTTCTCCAACAAAATTATTTCCAAGATATTTTTTTTCAGATTAGCAGGTATTTTACCTCAGTTTATTTCTGAGAATCAGTCGGTATTTGTTAAGGGAAGAAGTATCTCGGAAAACATATGTTGGCTCAAGAGATCACTCATCGTATCAAACAACCCAATGAAGGTGACAATGTGGTAATCAAACTCGATATGGCCAAGGCATATGATAGAGTGTCATGGTCGTATACTTGTTTGGTTTTGTGAAAAATGGGTTTTGGTGAGAATTTTATTGACCTTGTGTGGAGAATAATGAGCAACAACTGGTATTCTGTTATTATTAATGGGTACAGACATGGTTTTTTCAAGTCAACAAGGGGTCTCAAACAAGGTGATCCGTTATCGCCGTCCTTATTTATTTTAGGGGCAGAGGTGCTGTTTCGGATGCTTAATATGATTCATCAACAACAGCATTAAAAGAACTTTCAAATGGAAAGTAGAGGCCCACAGATTAATCATCTCAGTTTTGCGGATGATATCATTATCTTCTCTTCCACCACTAGAGATACTCTCCATATGATTATGAAAACTCTTGCCACATATTAGTCTGTCTCATATCAACTCATAAACAAAGACAAGAGTCATTTCATGGTCCCATCGAACGCTCCCAGAGAGGTCATCAATGTGATTGGAGAAATCACAGTCTTCACTCAGAAAAACAGTCCCATTACCTACCTGGGGTGCCCCCTATAAATTGGTGATCAAAGAATCATTTACTATTCAGATTTAGTCGCAAAGATCACCAAAAGGATCACGGGATGGCAATCAAGGATTCTTAGTTTTGGTGGGAAGGCTACTATGATCAAACATGTTCTACAATCCATTCCTATCCACACAATGTCAACTACCTCTCCTCCTAAAACAACTATCCGGTATATCAAGAAAGCCATGGCAGATTTCTTTTGGGGTTGGGACAAGGAAAAAAGAAAGTATCATTGGGCCTCTTGGGATACGATGTGCCTTCCTTTGTATGAGGGAGGTATTGGTATAAGACGTCTTGAAGATGTGTGTGTTTCATTAGAACATAAACAGTGGTGGATTTTCTGAAGCAACAGACATTATGGGGTCGATTCTTGACGGAAAAATACTGTCAAAGGGCTCATCCGATAGCAAAAAAACTACACATGGGGCAATCTTTGGTTTGGAATTTTATGATGAAAAATAAAGCCATTGCCGAATCCCAAATTCAATAGAGAATCAACTCTGGAAGCAGCTCATTTTGGTGGGATGATTGGTTAGGAGACGGCTCTCTTGCTCCTCAATGCAATCAAATCACGAGCCTAAACAACACCACTATTTCTCATTTTCTAATTAATGGAAGATGGAACGAAACATTGCTTCGACAATGGGTTCCTCCATTTATGATTTCAAAAGTATTGAATACCGGCATTAAGTTTCAGGAACACATGCTGGACGAGGCAGTCTGGAAAACTTTTGAGAAAGGGCAGTTCTCCTGTGCTACTGCCTGGGAACACATTCGTCAAAAGAAGGAGAAAAATAATTGTAGTAAGAACATCTGGCATAAGTTAATCCCGTTTAAAATTTCTTTTTTAGTGTGGAGGGCATTGCGTTGTAAGATCCCCACTAACGAAAGAATTATTAAATTTGGGAGGGAGGCAGCCAAGTGTTCCTGTTGTTATAGCCCTGGGGAAGACACCATAGATAATATATTTGTAACTGGTCATTTTGCTAACAATATTTGGAGGTTCTTTTCTGCATATGCAGGGCTGCAACATGAGCACACCACAATTCACACTCTGCTACAGAAATGGAGGAACCTGGCGCAGGCAACTGAAGTGCAGAAGGTGGAAACCAGGCTGCTGCCAGTTATCATTCTCTGGAATCTCTGGAAAAATCACTGCACAGCAAAATACGGAGCAAAGCAATCCAACACAGCTCGAGTAAAATTCCTCATAGTCAAAGACTTCAACCATCTCCTCAACACATCCTATCCATACATCGAATGACCTAACAATTGGAACTCTCTTATCGAAATGGTGGCAAGTTACAAACATGTTATTATGGTTAAAGAAGTAACGTGGGAGAAACCTCAACAATCATTCCTCAAGCTCAACACTGGTAGGAGTGCCCTTAACAACCCCGGGAAAATTGAAGGAGGAGGAATAGTAAGAGATTTTCAAGGTAATATGATATATGCATTTACTATTCCTTTGGGTATTAGTACCAACAACCAAGCGAAAATTCAAGCAGTAAGCCATGGTTTATATTGGTGCATTCAGCATGGATATAGAAAAATACACTTGGAAGTGGATTCAGAATTGGTCATTCATTGGCTTTCGAATCAAACCTACTACCCATGGAACCTACAGCCATACATCCTGGAAATCCACAGAATAGTGCATCATTTGGAAAGAATCAAGATTACTCATCTCTACAGGGAGGCAAACAACACGGCTGATCGGCTATCACAATATAGTCACAACACAGACATTGTTCAAAACTTTTACATCAAGGATCAATTACCTACTCTTGCGAGAGGAAGCTTCATTCTAGAAAAACTTGGTATGGCTAATTTCAGGAGAAAGAAATTGAAAAGAATCAAGAAACCTCCATGATCGTCTCTGTTATGGTATAGTTTTTATACCGTTTTTTGTTAGGAGCCTATTCACTTAGACTATGCTATTTGGTATAGTCTCGTTTAATAGGATACACCATTATTCTTGTCTTACTTATGTAAGGGGAGAGTCTCCTTTATTTACGTATCCAAGATACTTTGTATTGAGAAGAGTCATCTCTTCTAGGTGGTTAGTATTCTGGTTTCTCTTTTATTGTAAGGGGATGAGTCGAACTTCCTTTTTAGGAAAGTTGACTTCTGAACCATCTTAGGATCGGAGGTAAGGTTTATGCACCACTCCTTGTCTCTTTTACTTTTATTAATGTTAAGGCCTGGGGGTGTTGCTCAGCCCCTTACCCCCCTAAGGGTACTTAAAAAAATTAATGTGTACTCATACTATAACATAAATATAATTCATTTTTTCTAGACATTTACTATCATATTTCTTCCAATATTTGTTTAACTCGGGTTTACAATAGTAGTTCCATGGTAATTACCTCCTTGAGGAATATGTATAGACATTCCATCATTTTTACCATTGGGGAAACACTATGGAAACCTTGGTTGGAGAACATTTTCTTGAACCCTTGTTGACCTTGCCAATCAAGCTTATCATTGGAGAAGTTCATATCACTGGTTCTATCTCTCTTTACCTACCTATTCTTTTTCGTGATATTTTTCTCCTCAATTTGTTCAGCATGAACCATAAGAGTTAAATATTTATACTTGGGATAAGCATTGTTGAACAATTTTCATTGCCTACAAATTCGAACACTCTCACTACATATTTACTAAATAGTTCCCGCGAGTTTTCTACCATGTTTGGATCATACTTGGATAGTTGGGTTAACTTTAGTGAATACTCTATTGCACTCATTACCCCTGTCTAATGTTTATGAACTCTTGCATTTTTTGTTCCCTCAAAACTAGGGAAAATAACCTATAAAGAATTTTTTCCTTGAACACTTCCAAAAAACCCATCTATTGTTAAAACAAAATTTTAGCTACATCTTTTAGTTTTTAGGTGGATAGATCTGGCTTTTCCTTTGAAGACATCCCTAAAGCACCATCTATCTTGCAATCCTCATCAAAAAACATTTGGGGATCCTCTTCCACATTGGAACCAAGAAACTTGGGAGGATTAATTCTAGAAAATTTCCTCGATCTTCAAGCTATAGATACCACATTAGTATTCACACGAGGGCCAACATCCAAGTATTGGCTTTAACCGTCATCCCTTGTGCTTGAGTTTTCACAGTTAATGAGCTCGAGATTTAAATTCATTTACGTCGTTGTTTTTATTGATTTAGTATCCTCAATTGATTATTCATTGCCAATAAATGACTTAAAATCCCTTGACTTTTAGGTATATGGATTGAGGAACAAATAAGGGACACCAACAAGAAATAGGGAACAAAATAAGCTTAAATAATGAAGAAAGTCAAGCATGGTCTAATTAAGTCCTCTTGGCTAGTCACCTAATGGCCATCTAACCGCCTAAAGTTCCAGTTTCCAGGTCTTGAGGGAAAAAACATAGTGGGTAATTAAAAAGAGTAGTTGTTGGATTACTCAATAGTTTTGCGATGCAGTGCTAGATCGCCCAAAGTTACAGAATATAAGGATGGTGAGTACCAAGGTAAAAGGGTAATATAATAGACTAAAGGGTGGATATTCAAGTAGTTTGGCAAGCATGTTTTGCTTATCCAAGTGACTCTTCACATCACAATTTTTGCAACTATAAATACATATTTGAACTTTCAGTTTGTTATCTTATTCTATCTAAGATTTTTTTTTATAATTTTTAGCAGAAGAGACAATTTTCTCTAGTTTTTTTTTAAGTTTTGAAGAATTTTTTTTTTTCATTTTTGAGAAATTGGAAGTGGATCTTTTAGATTCTTAGATTTGGACCATTTTATAAGGATGAATCTACTCTTCCCTAGTTGGTGGATAATATATTTGGTAATGCTTTTTAGCATCTTATAAAGTCCAACTAAAAGCCCAATGGGGTTTAATTATGTTGCTATGGGCCTATTTAGCTTATTAATGTCGGTAATTGCTAGTCTAAATGCTATTTAGAAGAGATTTTAGCACTAATCATGTTTTAATTTATGAGTTGTAGCTGCAAATGTAGTTCTATCTTTGTGTTCTTGTCTTACTCAAGAGAAAAGTTTTAGAACCTAAATTATTGGTTGATGGTAAGTAGGTATTGGGTTGACCTAGGTTCATTTCAAGAGAGTGAAACCTAAACCCACTCATAATTTCTGCTTGAGAGAGTCAATAGAGTAAGGTGTGGAGTGTTCTTATTTTGCATGCTTCTTGATAATCAATAAAACTCAACTAGAGTCGAGGTAAATTATTCAAGGGAAAGTTTACCTCCTTTACATCCTAGCTTATGCACTAATATTTAGCTAAATAATGATAGTTGCAATTACCCATTTTTTCTATATTAGACTATATCGAAACACATACAAAGAACCTATCTCATTATTGTTACGTTTTATTATTTGTGACTGTTTGTAGTTTAAAATTTCAAACAAAAACCCCCATTTCACATTTGTTGCATGGCCTTCTTTGAGTGATGTCTTTATTGGATAAGTTTTATTCTTATGACTTATTTGAACATGTTTATATTTCAAATTTTATCATGACGCACGTACTGCTCCCTGTGAGATTTGACCCCACTTATTTAGTTTTATTTTGTACTGATTAAAAACTATTGACCCTTATATTAGATGAAGTTTCTTTGAATTATTATAAAAAAAATGGTTCCACTGCCAGGTAGTGGTGCTGTTAAAGAAATTCTTTTTGTGAAGTTTAATTTTGTTCATTTTAGTCATAGTCAAATATTCTTTCTTTTACTATTAGTTTTTTTGTTGTTTTCTGAAATAGAATGAATGAGAAAGGTGACCAAGTGGACATCCTCTCGTAAAAAATGATGATTATTAGGATAAAATCCTATATTTTAAAAAATTGAAGGGTGAGAAAATTTATGAGTTATGGTTGATATTTAACACACTATTGTTGCAGTTTCCAAATCATGAAATCCCTAATAAGATACTACTAAACTTCTTTCATAAAGGTCTTGGCTTTGAAAATAGAGGAGTGGCTGACCAAATCTCCCTGGTGGTCTAATATAACAACCATGTGCAATTGTAGCTTAACTCATTAATCATATTACTAAGACCAAGAAGGTGACAAAGATGGACCATATTTCCACATTGCGAGATCAACTTGATCTCTTGGACAAAAAGGTTATAGAAATTTTAATATTATACAAAATAAAAGATAGGTACATTCCTCAGTATAACCATAAAAATTACAAGGATTTTGAAGGTGGACTGAAGGAGGGATACTCTCACTTTTGAACCACCAAGTGGAAAAACGCGATAAAGTGTTGAAAGGGATAAAAGAGAATGCCTCAATGCTAAATCAGATAATTGCTTCTCAATCCATATCTACTACGATAGTGTTGACCCAAATGGCCATTTGTTGTCTCTTGTCAACTGAAGAAAAAAAAATAGGAATTGCCTAGTGATTCGACCGAAGAGTTACCCCTAGATGTTGCCAGTGTACTTGATTTTGAAGAGGTCTTGGATAAGCGCTTATCTTAACCGTCACTGCATAATGAACTTGAAATAATGCAAAATCTATAACTTTTTACAATAGAAGTTTAAACATTTTGTTTAATAAGAAAATAGTAAGAATCTAGGACCATTGTCACACATACGCCATCAATAAGTAAAACTTCAACAAAAAGTCATCAAATAGGGTCCTTATCCCTTTACATTACAATAGTATTTAGAAGAAATGTAGATATGGAACGAATTACTAATTCTATTACATAAATAGAGGGATAATAAAGTGGCATAAATGCATTAGTACTGAGATCCTTGAGGACCTACCACAAATCTTGGAGGTAATAAGTCCACGCTTTTTAGAGGTATGAGCAAACCGATTATCCTGAACCTATACTCATAATATCAAAAGGAGAAAATGTGTTAGTACAAACTAATGAACTAGTTGTGGAGAAATGCATAAGAACCTTTAAAACATGAGAAAATGGACATTTATATAAACATATACATTCATGAATTTTCGGAAAGCCTTTCACGTCATCAACACACCTTATAATGCAAATAACCCAAACCATGTCCCACTATAATAAAGTTGACATTGGTACATCATATGGTTCACTTGTGCAATATAAAGTTAGTATCCCATAATACCAACTCTACCAAGTGTTCCATAGAATGCACCTTAGCCACACAGATTATTACCTTTCGATTCTATTTCATATTATGGTCATGACTGAAATACATGCATTATGTTATTATCATTATCTCATAACTACAAACAATAACCCACAACAACCTTCCTAGCCTACTAGTGCCACATCTACTTAGTAAACACAGTGGGATGTCATAGACTAGTTCACACATCATTCACTACTTCGTATTTCTAAAAAGATCAACCATAACCTACTTAGACCGTGACACCTTACATGGAATCCGGTGTCAGAAATACCCAAACCAAACAAGAGTGTTATACTTGCCAAGGTAGAATCTACATACTAGCTATTATGTGGATCAACTAGTTATGTCCTACAGGGGCACGTAGTTGACTGAGAGGCAGATTTCTTCTAGAGAGTCTACCTATTTCATTAACAGGGGCATACCAATCTCCTGATTATCACTACGATGATCCAACTTTTTTCATTAATGGGAGCGTCTTTTCGTGATTAGACATATCCTCTCGGTGCTTAGTATACTGTCCAAACTTAATTCCGTTAGTTCTTTTAATTCCATATACATATCTGAGGAGTAATCAATATTAATTTAATAAAATTCTATATAAAGCTCTTAGATTCATTAGGTGAGAATACACTTACATCCTAGAATCAACATCCATATGTGGGTAGTGATTTTCCCATTATCAATTATGATGTCTTCATGAGAATTATATGTTAAATCAACACAAGTGATTAGCTTCATCGCACATAAT